CTAGGCAAGCGCACTACCACTGAGCTATAATCCCAGCCCCTATTTAAATTTCTTACCAAGATTTAGGTCCATTGTTCTGGCCTGCTCTGCCCTTTACTCTCTATGTAGGGAAAGTGTTTGACTATATCTCTTTGTCTATGGCATGTGTCACCTGGTGTCATTTTCTTTAAGTGTATCTTACCTCATTCCAGAATAAAAATTGAGGTGATTTGCAATAAAAACATAGCACAATGAAATAATAAAATAGGGCAAACCAGAATTAGGAAAAAACAATTGAGTAGGAAATAAGTGTCATAAATAACAAGAACAAAAAAGTATGGTGGTCATGAAGACCTACATAGTTAGAATGATTTGATGCTAAGCCTCCTGTCACTAAAGCCAAAAGAGGGGAATCAAGTAAGAGATTCATTCACATATGAAAGGAAGAAAACCAACACTTTTTCAAAAGCAAAGATTTTTCTAGTTTTAAGGTTTTGGATACATTGTACCCTTCCATTGTCATCAGGGAAGGTAAAGCAGGTGACACTTATCACCATGAGAAATCAGTATCCCTTAATAGTTCAAGTGGCCCCTGCATGTTTCTGGCTCCCAAGTTAATGCCCTCCTTCTTGTATCCAGTTATTTTACCTCTGGACTTGTCTCTAAAGGGGTCTTCTGGCCTTTCCATCTGTCCCATACCCAAACACATCTTAGTGAGACAATCAGCAAGTTTTCACTGGTGGCTGCATGCCCAACTTTGTGGAAAGAGGCAAGAGAGTGTGAGTGAGCAGGCAGAGGGCCCCTGGTCTTAAGACAGACAAGGCAGAAGCTCTGTTATTTAATTTCCTGGGGCCCTCTGTCCCACTTTGCTGCTCTTCCACGCATTGCTGAAAATTCTTCCACAATTGGAATTTCAGGATCATCCATGGGTCCATATTTTCCCATAGGCTCCCCCTGTTCATTTTGGAGATGTTTCGATCAATTGTGATTGGCAAGCAGCTTCCCTGCTGAGTACTTTCTCTTTAAATTGCCCTGCCAGCAGGGCCCTTCCCGGTGTAAACAAACCCTTTGGTGCAGCCCAAGAGAGCCCCTATCTAATACCCAGCATGATCCCCTTACATCCGGAGCACTCTTTAAACATTTTTTCTAGCATTTGCAACATCCGTCCTCCTGATGATCTTCACAGTGACCCTGCAGGAGAGACAGGAAGATGGATCATGATCCCTGTGTTACAGATGGAGTCATGAGAGGCCTGTTGAAATGAAGTGACTTGTCCAAGGTCATTCCATGAATTAGGGGTGGAGTTGATACCAAAACACTAAACTGATCCTCTGCATATACAGCTGTTCCCTTGTCAAAGGTGGGATATGTATGTGTAAGAAAGAACAAAATATTGCCAAGTGTCGACTGTCTCCTTTTATTGAGCTTCCCCAAACTCACTGGCCCAGCCCTGAGTGTATGTGGAATAAATACATGATTGGGTCTGGTCTGGGGACAGCTGGTAATTGGGAACTTTCTGAGAGGCTAAATACTGAAGGTTGGAGACCCTTGGGTATGAATGGAGAACCTGGCTGGCTCCTTTGCTGCTCAGGTCTGCCAGTGCCACGAGGGGGCAGCAGGCAGCCCTCACCTAAATCCTGGGAGGTGACTAATCCCGCCCTTTTCCCACCTTGAGACAATTCTAGCAACCAGTGGGGGTGTGACTGTCCCTTTTTCAGCAGGTACAAGATCTTTGGCTTCCTTCCTGATAACAACCTCACTCTTTGAGTGAGGAAGCTTCTGTAGGATAACAATGAGTGCTGGAAACTACCCTTTTCAGAGCATGGCATCATGGTTAGATCTTAATGAGGGCTTCGAGACAGCCCAAGTTCATTGAGAGTCCTTCTATTCCCCCAGCTTTCTTCTCACCCTCCTCTCCTCCACCTCCCCCTGCACTTAGTGCTCCTGTCACACCCCTATTACTCACTGGTTCTTGAGCTCACCTCCCTGCTTTCAGATTCTGCTCATCCCAGTGCCTGGAATGTCCTTTTATTCCCCTTTTCACTTATTGATCTCCTATACATCCATCAAGACACAAATTCAAATGGCTCTCACTGAGAAACTTTAATTCCCAGGCAGATCAGCAAGGACTTCTTCGATGTTCTTGTATCAACTTATATAGACTATTACTAGAGCTCACATACACAGTCATTCAGCAAATATTTCTTTGGCACCTTCTGTGTATCCAGTATTGTTTTGGACATTCTGAATACAGCTGAAAGCAAGCCAGATGAGATCCTTGCTATTGTGGAGCTTATTTTGGATGTTGAGTTGGGGGTGGGGTTCGGAATTGGAAATGGGAGGAATAGTAAATGCTAGACCAAGTTAGACTGAAAATACTCTGTCTTCCTCACAGGTGGTCCTCCTCAAATTCAGGGTCATTTCTATGTCTCAAGATCCCAGCACAGGGCTTGGGATCAAGAGGGTAACAGTAACTGATGAGTAAGTGAATGAACACAAAGCCTGCCTTGCAGACAAACCAGAGACAGGGACTTCTGCACACTGCACACAAACCCACCTCTACTCATCTGACTCATGATTTTCTCTTGTTAACAGTTTTTTATTGCACATTGACAATATGCTAGGCAGGGCTATTAGGCAGAGATTATACTTTTAAGAAATTTATGTGTTGGAAAATAAAGCTAAAGCTTGGTACCTAAATGGATTCTTATTTCATCTTCACATCCTTATTAAGTATGTATTCTCCCCCTTTTATAACAAGAGCTTAGGCTCAAAATTGCCCAAGGGCACCAGCTGGTTTCATGGAGCCAACTGCTCCAAAAAACCACCTGTCCCAGGTGGCCCAGCTGCCTCAGCCCCATTGGTCTTGTCTGCTCTGTTCATGATTCTTTTCCTATAGAGAATGAAAGTCCCCTCTCCATCAATTCCTGGAAAAGGGCCTAGCATTTGTCCCACAGTTCCAGCCATCCATAGGCTTTTGTCAGGTAGCACTTGACCTCCCTAGAGGAGAAGATCCTAGGGTAGAGATTGAGTGCCCAGTCACAATTTGAGCATGGTGGCGCACACGTGGAATCCCAGCAACTTGGGAGGCTGAGGCAGAAAGATCACAAAATGAAACCTTGCCTAAGCAACTCAGCTAGCCTGTCTCAAAATTTTTAGTAGAAAGGGCTGGGGGTATAGCTCAGGAGTAGCACACCGCTGGGTTTAATCCCCAGTACCACGGGGGTAAAAACAAAACATGCCGAGTCACAGGAGTAACTTGGGCATGGCCTTCTTGAGGAGGAGCCACGCTGGTGGTGTCACCCCTAGGTTGGGTACTTGCCACTACCACACAGCCCAGGAAGAGGGGACAGGAGGACAGCAAAGCTGGCAGTCAAGGGCAGAGAACCTGAGCTGGGCCCCAGCCGGGCCAGGCTGGGCTAGGCTTCTCTGTTTGGCTGGTGCTAAGGTAAGATCTGAAATAGAGCCTGACCCTCCAACAGCCCTGAGCCTCCTGCCTTTCCTTAGTGCCCTGGCCTCCCTGAGCCCTGTGACACCTCTGTGAACTCCCAACGCTCCCCCAAGTCCCTGTGCCTCCCTTGCCTCCCTCTTTTAGGGAAGAGGAACAGAAGCTGTCTGTGGAATATAAGCTTTCAAAGATCTCATACAAGTCCAAATGTCTTTATTTTGCCCTTTGATTTAAATGACTAGTTTGGCAAGATATGGAATTGTAGGTTCACAATTATTTGCCCTCAGCACTCTGAAGTTGCTCTTCCATTGTCTTTTGGCATCTGTTGTTGCTGATGAGAAATTTACCATCAGCTCAACTATTGGACTTTTGTAGATAAGTTATCTTTTGTCTCTGATGACTTTTAGAATTTTCTCTTTATTCTTGATATTCTATACTTCTGACTATAAGGTGTCTGGATGTAGTTTTTTTTTTTTTTTAAGATACTTTACTAGGCAGTCTGTGGGTCTTCTAGATTTAGAAATTCATGTCTTATTTCTGGAAATAGCATGGTCACTCTAGTATCTCTTTCTAAAACCAATAATACCAATGCTGGAATTTTTTGTTCAATATTCTGTCTCATTTGATTGTTTATTGTTCTGTTCTTTGTTCTAGAAGATTCCTCCAGCTGTAGCTTCTAATTTATTAATTCTCTCTTCAGCTGTATATACTCTTCTAACCCATTGATTTTTTAAAATGTCAATGACTTTGGTTTTCATTTCTAAAATTTCTAGAAATTATGTTCATTTCTGCTACATGTTCCTATTTAGTCTTTCTGTTCTTGTTTTATAGATGCTATTCATTTATCTTCTTG